GTCATCGACTGGATTATGAAAACGTCAACATCTGGGGGGAAGCACGGTATCAACTGGACAGTTAGGACGCAGCTGGACGATCTGGACTTCGCAGATGACTTGGCTCTTCTATCGCACACTCAACAACAAATGCAAGAGAAGACGACGAGTGTAGCAGCAGCCTCTGCAGCAGTAGGTCTCAACATACATAAAGGAAAGAGCAAAATTCTCCGATGCAACACAACATGCACCAATCAAATCACTCTTGATGGAGATGCCTTGGAGGACATTAACACCTTTACATATCTGGGCAGCATCATCGACAATCAAGGTGGATCCGATGCAGATGTGAGGGCACGGATTGGCAAAGCAAGGGCTGCATTTCTACAGTTGAAAAATATCTGGAACTCCAAACAGATATCAATCAACACCAAAATAAGGATTTTCAATACAAATGTCAAGACAGTTCTACTGTATGGAGCGGAAACATGGAGAACTACCAAAGCCATCATCCAGAGGATACAAGTGTTTATTAACAGCTGTCTACGTAAAATACTTCGTATTCGTTGGCCAGACACCATCAGCAACAACGAACTGTGGGAGAGAACAAACCAGATTCCAGTGGAGGAGGAAATCAGGAAGAAGCGGTGGAAGTGGATAGGACACACACTACGAAAAGCACCTAACTGTGTCACGAGACAAGCCCTCACATGGAACCCTCAAGGCAAAAGGAAAAGAGGAAGGCCAAAGAACACACTACGCCGAGAAATAGAGAAAGATATGAGAGGAATGAACAAACATTGGACAAAAGTGGAGAGAGAAGCCCAGGACAGAGTTGGTTGGAGAAAACTGGTGGGCGGCCTATGCTCCATTGGGAGTAACAGGCGAAAGTAAGTAAGTAAGTAAGTAATCCCGACCGTGGCTGCTACCATGACGTGGTGGTCGGGCTTGACTATCGTGATGACCCAGCCGAGCTATACTGGCTGGAACACATGTTCCTGAAGATTCCACCATGCCAGGCAGGCCGATTGGAGAACGATGAGACTAAAAGCAGCTACCCGAGGTCTGAGGGCGAAGTACTGCTGACTGCAGAGGGGTGGGTGTGATACCAGTAAGGTGTTTTACCTCGGACAACCAGCATCAGCAGCGATGCTGTTTTCTCACAAGGAAGGAAGGGTTAGAAAAGGTCGACCCTAAAAATTTCACACCTCACCATATCTCACGGATTTCCTTCTCCGTCGGTAAAGGTGCTCACTAGGGGTTTTTAAGAGCGGAGTCAATACTCAAAAAATCTTTCATAAAAATGCAGTGCGTGACCGGCCTCACGCAGTTCTCCCTTTGACTGTGCGGTTACGCTCCCAGGTCTCTAAGATCGACACTAATATACCTTGTTTTTCAGGTCCCTCAAGAAACAACCTTCCCCGGTGTGGGCGATTGGGAAGTGACATCCGCCCCCATACCCGTAACAGCACGTGAGACCGAATTGGCCAAAATCAAATCCTTCCTACATCCCCTAACACCGCTCTTATCTCCAAGACTAAATCTTCTCACACTCCTTTACCACTCCGTACCGCTAATGCAGACGATGTGAGTTCACGAAACGTTATTCATGGTCTCCTGAAACCTTTGTGTAAATTACATGTTGGAGCATTTAATGTCCGGACATTGTGTCAAATAGTGCAACAGGCGTCCTTAGCTAGGACTTTAGAATCTCGCGCGATCGATGTATGCTGCGTCTCGGAAACGTGCATACAGGATCGTAGTAAATTCGTTAATTTGATTTCACCTAATCAAAATAACGAAGCAACTCGATTTACTCTTCGTGTATCTGGAAGCCCTGATGCCGCTTCCCGGGGTCTTGCTGATGCAGGTATAGCTTTGAGTCCTAGGGCAGAACTAGCTCTCCTAGACCGTATTACAGTAGATAGTCGCTTTTGCGCTGTCCGACCAAACGGGACAGTAAGGACTCAGAAAGATAGGAAGACTCGCCGTTGCTTCTTTGTCGTATCTGACTAGGCTCTCACTCGACCAGTGGTGTTCGAGTAGAGAGCTTGTATAAAGTTAATGTACTCCTTCGGTGCATCTTTGAATGACAGACACTGTCACAGAACCTTACGATCCACTGAGTTGAATCCCGCTTTATGGTCAAGGAATACCACTGTTTTCGGACGCCTAAATATGTGTCTATGTTCCAGGACCTGTCGTAGAGTGAAAATGTGGTCTATACAGCCACGTCCATGTTTGAAACCCGCCTGGTTTGCTCGAGTCTGCTCTTCACGAGCTCTAGTTAGGCGTCTAAGTATAATCGAGGCTAACAATTTAGAAACTATATTAGTCAGACTGATTCCTCTGTGATTGCCACAAGAGGACTTTTGTTCTTTCTTGTAGACTGTGACAATCAGTGTTTGAGACCAGTCAGATGGTATTACGCCTAGATCCAGATTGTACCTAAGATCTCGGTCAGTCTAACTGTTAAAACTGGACCACCATCCATAAAAATCTCAGGGGTAAGCCTATCAGGACCTGCTTCTTTACCTCGCTTTACACTTCTTATTGGTTTCCTAACTTCATAAAGACTGAGAGGACTTAAACCGACTTGCTATACAGGATGACTGGGGATCATGGGCAGCCGAAGTGTGGCTAGAGGCCAGTTGAACTGACGTTAACCGACCAAGAGTTGAAGAGATCAGTATGGCCATCAGACAAATCAAGAGCGGTAAAGCAGCGAAATCAGACAATATTCCAGTCTGTCATCGGAATTCTCTACTTCAAGTGGTGTCCGTCATGGATGTCCACTCTCTCCATTCTTGTTTAACTTTGTCGTAGACATGCTTTTAGAGTTAGCATTATCTTCGTCTGAATTTTTAGGAGTAGACCTTCTACTAGGAGACGCTTGTTGACTTACAGTAGGTCGATGACATTGTCCTATTTGCTGAAGACGCTGGCGAAATACAGTCTTCTGACCACTCCAAGCAACAATGCAAACATGTTCGCGATGCGGTTTTCCCCTTCGAAATGTCGCTTGTAGATTGGCTTGCGTCAGCACCTGAACTAGTGATAGTGTGTGAATTAGTTGAGCGTGTCGACCGCTTCACTTATCTCGGGAGTCTCATCAGTGCTGATGGTCCTGCGACTGACGAAAGCGTGGCATGGCTACAGAAAGCTCGATTGCCTTTCGCCAATCTACGTCATTTATGGCGCAGGCGAAATATCCGTTTACCAAGCAAATGTCGAGTGTACTGCTCAGCAGTTCGCTCCTTTCTCCTATATGGATGCTAAACATAGGTGATCAGGGTAGAAAATATTTGTAGGTTATAATATTCGATCACAGATGTCTTAGAAGCATTGCTCGTGTATCGTGGGACACCCGAGTGATCAATGCTGCCAGTTAGAAACGAGTGCCAGGTAAGGATGGCTAATCAATAGGCAAAGTATTGAAACTTCTTCAGTGGAGGTAGTTGGGACATTTGTTACGTTTGCCTGAAGAAATTTAGGGGCAGAAATTCATGAAGTCACTGACAAACGGATTAAGTCATGTCGGTAGGTGTCGACTACCTGGTTGGGGTCCGCGAGATAACAGTAATCGATGGTTAGAGACACTGAATGACATGGCTCAAAATCGTTTTCATTGGCACAGGTGCATCCACTTGTTGTGTTCTCTCAAATCCTAATCTTCTGGATTTGTCAACACCTATGCTTTTGTGTTTTTAAACTTATCTCACTGAATTGTACTTCTTGAATAATATCTTGGAACCCCAATGTCTATTACCAGTTGTACTCCTACTATCTCTACCACTATGGGATTTGAATTGACAATTGCGTCTCTGTGCTAATGTGGTTTGGCAACCTGAACGGATGTACTTACGTACAAAGTTTTACGTTGCATCTGAATGACTGACTTACTAACTGTCGGATTCCTAATTCCAGTTTCCTTGATAAGTCTGAATAGCTGTCTACTGTTAACTATTGCCATTTCTCTTGCTTTCGCTACCCACCACTGTTCGCGATCATTGTGTAGGCTTCTTATTAGCCTACGCCTAAGCAGACTACGCTCTTCATCAAGCTGAGCTCCAGACGGCATGTGTTTTCAAGCGTCTATCAGTTCAGTAGATACTAGTGATATCTACTACTCCCTCCTGACCTTATGGTTTGCCTTACTGCCTCAATGTGGGTATCACCTACGTGGCTGCAAAACTGTTTTTCTAGTTGCTCCATAAATATACTCTTGGCTTTGTTATTGTTGAGTAGAACTCTAAGTACTTTCTTGACTGTCTTTCTTACGTTCAGTAAGCCAAAGACAATCACGTGCTCGTACTAGAACATGGTCCGAGTTCAGACCTTGTTCCAGGATTAGCCAGTCTACTTTGGAGCCTCTCCATCGATGGGTGATGGTTATGTGGTCTATTTGAGTTCAGTGTTGAGTCTATTTTGAGGGTCACCATGTCAAAAGATGTTTTTCCTTATATTTAAAATCACTATTTCCCAGAAATGGCGTATATCTGAACATAGTTGCAGCAGACGGCCGCTATTGTCTGTTCGATCAGCCGCGACACCATAAGATCCACTCAGGTGTCTTTCCTTTCCACTTAATCTACCTACATGAAAGTTGAAGTCAACAGCCATTTCATGTGTAACCCTTTTGCTTCTCATCTTGACAATCAAGTCCCTAGGCTTAAGCGGTTTGTTAGTTCGGTTTCATCTACTTCCTTTTTCGCTATCTTTGAACGACTATAACCGCGGTCCTAATCTGAAGTTTTACTTCATGGCGTCATACTAGTTGCTACGTTTTTGAAAGTGTCTGCTTGTCCAGAAGGCGTTGTAAATATATTTTTAACTTGAAATTTTTTACTATAGAAGCTGATAAATCGTCAAAGAGAATAATTTCCTCTATTTTATGCTGAATATCCAACATTTTTTGCGGTTTCATATCACCTTTGTGTTTCTTGCAATAAAGTTATGGGCAGTCTATTCATATGCTTTCATCTCATTTTTCGTCCTTCCTTCCTTTTCTTTATTATTAGATCCTTTCTGTATTCCAAAAATTTTGATAAGTGGGAAACTTACCATACATGTGATTGGAGTTGAAAAGGAACTGTCTCTTTTGCCAATATTCAAAGTATGCAACAGTAATCACGTCATAATATTAACTCTAGAGAATGTTTTTTTAAGAAGATAAACAGTGAGAGATTAAGATGACTTCATTTTTCGTTGTTGTTAGTTCTTGGCTTTCTATGTACGTAGGAGACAAAATCGGACGCCATAAAGAAAAATAAAGGTTAAAGGATAAGTTTCTTTGAATGAAATGGTTCCATCGACTACTTCACAAATTTTTTAAACTCGTTTTATATTTCCTCGAGTTGTATCTTGAATGCTTAATCTTTCCTATTGCCATCAATATTGTTACCAACTCTAGTACCCTGGAATATATTCTGAAAGCTTCCTCTAGCTGCGCTAATGTGGATATTGCAACCTAAACGAATGTACATATTTACCAGGTTTTACTATGCATACGACTAACCGATCGCCATCAAACAAATGTGATAAAATGGGGTCATATATTATTTTTCCTACTGCCTTTCCCAACCACAGAAGAAGGTCTTCACTAACTTATTTGCCACGTTTTCCAGTTCGCCTTTATTCACAAGCGCTGCTGAATTTGACGATGCACATGGAAACGACATACGAGGTAACCAATCTTGAACATGCCACAAAACGTTTATACTTAGACTGCTTGAAGCGAAGCTCCATTAAAAGAGTATACATTAGTTGCAATTTTTCTATATCATCATTAAATAAGTCCTAAAAATGCCATGCTTACTACACGTTTGCAAATCATACTTTTGAAAACAGGAATTGGACCATTTATTCAAACCACAACTGAGTATCTATATCTACTTCATCGGTAGGCATTTCGACGCTGCAGCAAATAAAGTTGTTTATCATCTTTCGTCACGACTGTCTGTGACTGTATGGAGTGGATTATATCATGAGTTTCTGCATACTCAAAAATTATCAATTGAACAACCAGATTTAATTATTGGTAAGTAATATATATATAAGGTAGATTTGAATTTTTCAAATTGATGTTTTTATTAATATTCTGTTTGACGCAACTGCGCTCAGATAACCGCCTATTTCTTGTAAACACTAACTCAACGTTGGACCCAACTAGATCACATCGCCATCAGCCACCGATGCAGGGTTTCGATAGAGGACTGTTCGTCTTTCTGGGGCATATGTATAGATTTAAATCATACCCTAGTGCGAGCGCGTATTTGTTTGAGGCTTACTGGACGTGGGAAAAACATCGTTATAAAACCCCTTAAAGCTGTACTTAATGAGGATAAAGCTAAGAATATATTTCAGGAACAACTGGAAAAACAGTTAGGCGATCATGTAGTAAGTGATGCCCATCCTGAGTCAGTTTGCCATGATGTCAAAAAAGCTGTGAGAACAGCAGTGATATCTGCTAGTAAGGTAAACCATAAGGTTAGGGAGAAGCCGTGGATTTCAGTCGCATCTACGTAACCGATGGATACTCGAAAGATCATCCCGCCCGGCACTGAGTGCGATGAGTAGCGGAGTCAACTTAGGCGCAGGCTGATAAAAAGGCTACACAACGATCGTGAAAAGTGGTGGGTAGTGAAAGCAAGAGGGAAGGAAAAGGAAACGCTGATAGGCAACAGAGGCAACTATTTAGGCTCATCAAGTAGACCGGTATTAGGAACCCGAATGTGAGTGAGACAATCTCGCAAAAGAATGGTCTTATTATTCACTCCCAATCCACGAGATTTGATCAATGGGCAGAGCACTTAAGAGATCAGTTCTATTGGCCTTCAGCCACACTTCGCTTGCCCACGCTCTCTAGTCATCCTGAACGGCAAATCGACGATGAATGCTCCAGAAATGATAATTCAAATAATTTTAACTCTGTATTAGGAGTCAGAAGTTCTCCATTCAGAAGAGTTATTACGTCAGCAGCAATTAACATCAGCCGAACAAGAACAAAGAAGGCAAAGGCACATACTGAATACACAGAAGCAGAGAAGCAAGTGCAGAGGAGTATCAGAGCCGAAAGCCGTAAATATATGGAAGATCTAGCAATGATGGTGGGAAAAGCTGAAAGAGGAGGAAACACGAGACAATTGCACGATACAACAAAGAAGCTTGCTAGAAATTATCGTAAACCAGAATGACCAGTCACTCAGTTACAACGTAGAACTTCGTACGTAGTACATCAGTTCAGGTTGCCATACCACATAAGCACAGTAACAAAATTGTTAATTCAAATCTTAATGTGGTAGAGATAATAGAAGTATTATTGGTAATGGAGAAGATTGGGGTGTAAAGACACTATTCAAGAAGTAGAATCTAATGAGATAAGTTTATAAAGACAAAGGCGAAGATTTCGCCGGTCGTCGGACCATCAGCACTGATGAGACTCCCGAGATAAGTGAAGCGGTCGACACGCTCAACTAATTCACACACTATCACTAGTTCAGGTGCTGACGCAAGCCAATCTACAAGCGACATTTCGAAGGGGAAAACCGCATCGCGAACATGTTTGCATTGTTGCTTGGAGTGGTCAGAAGACTGTATTTCGCCAGCGTCTTCAGCAAATAGGACAATGTCATCGACCTACTGTAAGTCAACAAGCGTCTCCTAGTAGAAGGTCTACTCCTAAAAATTCAGACGAAGATAATGCTAACTCTAAAAGCATGTCTACGACAAAGTTAAACAAGAATGGAGAGAGTGGACATCCATGACGGACACCACTTAAAGTAGAGAATTCCGGTGACATTTCGCCATAAGCTCTCACTCGACCAGTGGTGTTCGAGTAGAGAGCTTGTATAAAGTTAATGTACTCCTTCGGTGCATCTTTGAATGACAGACACTGTCACAGAACCTTACGATCCACTGAGTTGAATCCCGCTTTATGGTCAAGGAATACCACTGTTTTCGGACGCCTAAATATGTGTCTATGTTCCAGGACCTGTCGTAGAGTGAAAATGTGGTCTATACAGCCACGTCCATGTTTGAAACCCGCCTGGTTTGCTCGAGTCTGCTCTTCACGAGCTCTAGTTAGGCGTCTAAGTATAATCGAGGCTAACAATTTAGAAACTATATTAGTCAGACTGATTCCTCTGTGATTGCCACAAGAGGACTTTTGTTCTTTCTTGTAGACTGTGACAATCAGTGTTTGAGACCAGTCAGATGGTATTACGCCTAGATCCAGATTGTACCTAAGATCTCGGTCAGTCTAACTGTTAAAACTGGACCACCATCCATAAAAATCTCAGGGGTAAGCCTATCAGGACCTGCTTCGTTACCTCGCTTTACACTTCTTATTGGTTTCCTAACTTCATAAAGACTGAGAGGACTTAAACCGACTTGCTATACAGGATGACTGGGGATCATGGGCAGCCGAAGTGTGGCTAGAGGCCAGTTGAACTGACGTTAACCGACCAAGAGTTGAAGAGATCAGTATGGCCATCAGACAAATCAAGAGCGGTAAAGCAGCGAAATCAGACAATATTCCAGCAGAAGCAATGAAATCAGCAACTGCATAGAAGCTGCACATTTTCTTCAGCGAGATTTGGTAGGAAGAACAGGTACCAAGAGACTGGAAGGACGGATAACTTATCAAAATACCAAAGAAACTACACAGACACCACTGTTCTCTGTAATGAGGCAAAGTCTTGACCTGAGTGTTGTTAAACAGAATGAAGGACTTCGTAGACGCACAACCTCGAGATCAACTGGCCGGATTCTATAAGGATCGATCGTGTACCAACCAAATTGCAACGTAACAGATCATTGTGGAACAGTCAACTGAATAGAACTCACTATTCTGCATCAAGTTGATTGACTACGATTAAGCATTTGATAGCGTTGACAGGACAACACTGTGGATGCTTCTTGCACACTACGTGTGCATCATCATGCCTAGTGCTCTTGATGGTTAAAACTGCAAATTCATGCATGGAGGACAGCTCACAGACTCGTTCGTAGTAAAGTCTGGTGTCAGGTAAGTTTACTCGCTCCCACCCTTTCTCTTTCTCCTGGTGATCGGCGGAATTGTGAAGACGTCAACATCTGGAGGAAAGCGTGGGATACAATGGACAGCCAGGATGCAGCTGGACACAAAAATCAGAATTTTCATACAAATGTCAAGACAGTTCTACTGTATAGGGTGAAAACTTGGAAAACTGCCAAGGCCATCAGCCAGAAGATACAAGTGTTTATTAATAGTTGTGTTCGTAGGATACCGCAGATCCGCTGGCCGAATACCATCAGCAACAACGTACTGTAGAATAGAATGAACCGGTATCCAGGGGAGGAAGAAACGCTGGAATTTGATATGATATACATTGAGGAAACTACACGACTGCTTCACAAGACAGACCCTCACATGGAACCCTCAATGTCAAGGGAAAAAATGAAGACCAACGAATATATTACTCCGAAAAATAGGGACGGACATAAGAAGAATGAACAAAACTTAAACAGAACTGGGAAGGGAAGCCGAGGACAGAGGAGTATACAGAAAACCGGTCGGCGGCCTTCGCTTCATTTGGGATAACTGGCGTCAGTATGTCAGCAAGTAATGTAATTTTTTTTCCTACCTACTAGTAATCAATCAAACCATCCTTAATAAATAAGTTTGTTTGCACACATTTCGACTCACTGGTTTTCCTTTCTCTGTACATTCAATACTAAACATTCGCCATATCTTGTTGCCTAAATGATGATCAGGCCTAATCTTTCGTCCTTGTTCACTTGGTTCTGATGGATTCCATTTAACAAAAGGCTAATATCCAAACTTAAGTTATAAAACTTTAAGGTCATAAATCATGAATGGAATTTTTAAAATTTTCTTGATTACGTTACTTTGAACGCCACTGCCCGCATGGTCCTTTGTTTTCTTTCGTCTGCAATCTGTTGTCGTTTTGTATCATTATATTTTTTTGGTCGTAGTTGTAACGCAACTATTCCAAATTTATACATCTATATCAAGTGTTAGTTTCAATCCTACCTTTTTTTCAGGTTTCAATGCTGGCCTAGCTGCCTATCCAACCTGGCCTCCCACACTATCCTCCATTGCTGTGAGTTTATGAAAATTCGTTTTCCTGTTTTTGTGACCGTTCCGATTTCTAGTGCACTCGTATGTATATGGACGTTGAAATCATGATGTTAGGTTATCAATCAATCTTCGTGGCCTCGTAAAGATTTCAGCAAATTTTATGTGTTGACGACTTTTAATGTTCATTAAGAACTGAAGTCATTTGTGTATATTGAAAGAAAAAATCTTCACATTAAACGTCATCAAAATGTGCTACGCAAACCTAAACAAGTGAGAGTTTAAGTCAGTTGGTAATAATCATTGTAGCGTGATGGAAGAAAATATCTTTAATCCTGAAGACAATGTATCCGTATTACTTTCATATATTTCCGGCCCTATTTTTCGATTCTTTATTTGATTTTACTCACTGAAAACACTCATTATGAGCACAAAGGTGGCCGTGCTATAACCCTTGATAGCCGTAAACATAGTGATTTTGTGACTGTAGTTCTACTGTAATATTGAAAATGTGTGTCTGTACCTACTTTTTAAAAAGCATCATGTAGATCATTTTAATCTTCCAATTTTATCTTACTACAAACAAGGTTCTCGTTACATTCATCTTCAGTAATATATTTATCCATAAAAGTAACGCTATAATCTCTAAATGTGAGACATTTTTATTTCTATTTTGAAGGAAACTGGTGTGCCAGTGTTTTTTACGGATTCATGCTTATACAGTTCATTATGGGGTTTCCGAGTATCAAGTTCATTGGGTTTAGGTCCAAGTCAACCGGATGCCATTTTAACTGATGATTATACTCGAAATAATAATTTTAATGAGTCATTTTGCTTGGTTTTGAATCCGTTTCGAAGCCCCATCCGTATTCCGGCTCCCGGTGTGCGATGGAGCTGGTTCTCAAATGCCTTCATATTCTCCCCTTTTTATCCCTCAGACTATTTGCAACAACGATCAGATCTGTCTCATCAAATGGCTTCGATGAATGTGTAGATCAATTGAAGTAGTTTTTGCTTCATTTTGTAATTTATGTACCCATGTTTCATATTTTTGTAAATATTCCACTTGTAGTGTCTGGACTGCAAATTTTTATTCTGTAGAAAAACGAAACTTACAAATTCTTACTGTGTTACAGGGAACAAGGTTGTCTCCTTAAATTGGCAGGACAATAACTTAAACCGTTAAGTAACAGTAAATGAAATAGCAGACCTTCGAGGCTGTTGAATACTTAAATTTATTATCTATAGAGTTTATGAACTTGTTGGTTGTGAAAACATTACCAGTTTATCAAGCCGTAATAAATATCTGTTAACTTACCGTTTATTATTTGTGAGGAAAGTACGCATCATAAGGGTTAGTTTTCAAACGAGCAAGCACTACATGCTTTGATATGAAATGCTACTGAACACTCAAATACTCATTAGTTTACTAATGATGGCTGGTGGCAGCTAACAGTAAAACTATTGGAAGGTAAATATGAGATGCAGAAGAGCTTGTTGGTGTGATGGTGAACACACATTGTATTTTCTGCATGTAATTAGAATTGTGCTATCTACTAACTTTCGTTTAAAGAAAGCAATGAACCTGGAAATGAACCCTTTCATGCGTATGAGACATCTGCTAACGATTGAAAGGAGGGACATAAGCTTTCAGACGTACACATCTGTCGTAATGGTAACAGTTCGCAGATCCTTTCACTATTTAGGATGGTTCTAGTACAAATACCTTATGAAGGTGATCGGTGTCCCACGTTCATTGTCGTAGGATTCCTAAGGAGAATTGCCTAGTACATTCGAAATTCTTAATATCGAACGGTTACCAAAATCGTGCCAGAAAAGGGGCGAAGTTATGGAGGGTAGGAGATCCGAAATGGCAGCAAAACACGAGAAGTTTGCGCGTACATAGTAGTAGTAAACAAGGAGGCTCAGTAAAACGATCTCTAGTAAACGTACTTATAATAATGGGAGTTTCTATCGAACCAATCTCTTTCTATTCATAAAAACGAATTCACTACAGTACTCCCCCCCAACTAGAAAGGGTTTGCAATTCCGATACGTAGCTGCTTCGTTTGTGGGGCTGGCCAGCAAAACGTGCGATTAAAGGATGGAAGGGTTGATCAGGAAGAGACCCATGATGCTCGAGTTGTCACCGAAGGTCTTATACGGAGAAATGTGCCATTAATAACGTGCAATATTTGCTGCTTCAGAAGGCACACCACACCAAAATGGTTTGCATCCAGAATCTGGAGACTGTGTTCGTTAGGGCCAGGATCAGTAAACGCTGCAAACGTTTTACCGAACCACATTGAGCCAATAAACCAAAAACGACCATAACAAAATAGTTCGAAACCATACGTATGCCAGATACAGTAAGGACCAAAACATGGGTTGTGTGCATTGACAAGAGAGTGGGTAATCAGACCAGCTTTCTTCAAGATTGACTGAAGTTGACAGTAAAAACAGGGCGATATTCGAAGACGTCGGTTCAGGATGAGAAATCAGAGAAAAAGATAAAATGAATAGCAAGCATGTAGTAAGGGTATAATCCTAAAACCTTATACATTGCTTACTGAGGATATTCGCGAAAGCGTTCAGGTAGACGTACCTGGCGACGGGAACTTGAGGTGGTAGTCTAGTTTGTCCCTCGTGTTTGAGATCTTGGGACTGCAATCTCATCCGAAGTCAAGTGTGGCGTGGCATGCTTATCTGGACGTGAGACTCAAGTCTTATCCGTAGATGGTGCAGATAACGCGTGCTGTTGACTGGGACGCGAGAATGAGGTCACTGATATATCTAGCGTGAGGTCTGAAGGAGACATACGAGTCCCGCTAGTGGGTCGGACGGGTCTAGCATTGCATCTCGACCTTTCAAATGAGGCACCATCATCGACGTGTGAGATGATCAATACTGACCGTTTCGATCAACCCTGAAGGTCTTTCTGCCAAAAGATCCTTCGTAAGGCTGTTGCAAATGTTTACACACTGAATTTACCCGTATGGAAGCATATGGACAGGTACATAACTCTCGAGGAACAGCGACCTGTCGATGCTGTATTCTAGTTGACACCAGAAGCAGTGTTTGTGTATACGCAGATAGTCGTTGAGCGATATTTGATATACATAAAACCACTGCTCTAGTGTTTGAGTCGTGGTTGACTATGGTCACTACTACATACTCATGACGAACTAGCACAAAAAAGTGATAGATAAGTATAGTGTTTTGACAGCGTTAACATCCGAATCCAGCAGTGCGATCGATTTCCGGAACAGACAACAATCGCAACATTATCGCAGTACGTAATCATGGGAAAATGATTTTTAATACAGTTAATTTAATGGTTAGCATGCAGTATTATCAAATCTACCTCATTCTCTATTCTGGAAACGATGGAGCATTTAATTCAGTTCACATGAGCTTTTGCGTACAATATATTTTTAGCAAAAAAGAAGCAATTTCAGGACATTTCTAGCCGCAGCGACTACAACGAAACTAAATATGGCACTCCTACTAGTTTGCAGTGATGCAGGAAATGCTTTATATTCTGTCATTCATATACTGCTTCCATTAATTGCCAGTTTGAATGGAGGAAAATTTGGAAAATCCTCACCGACTATTCGCGTCTAGTTCTGGCGCCTTATCGATGATATTTCTGTAAAATGCAAATACAGCAGTTAGTAATAAAACAAGCAGCAGCATAGGTTTATACGGAAATTAAAAGTGAAATCAATAATTTTGACCCTCTGTATACGGATATGGAAACTGGTACCTTGATTATTAATGATAAAGTGAAACAATAGATACTGAATATAAATTTGTTAACACGTAGAGCGTCATATATTAGACAAATGGTCATTTGTTGTGAATACATAAAATACTAGGTTCTCATGCCGCTGTACGTGTAAAGATATCTATTACTCCAAACCTATCGTAGTTAATATGACAGTCGTGTAGGTTAAACTCAGTACTACTTCCAAAATTCCTTCTGAAACATCTATATACATTATTTACTAAACAGAATCCCTTCCTCGTTTTTTGTTCGATCTGTTTCGACAGATTAAGCGAAACGGATCACGCAATCTAGGTGAAAATGTATCCATTTTCGAACAATGTGAAGCGTATCACGCTCATATGATTTTGAGATGGTGGAGAAAACTTGTAGCTCAGGTGGATGATTGTGGTGGTGTTTTGTTCTCTGAGCTGGTTGTTTTGGTTGTGGAGCTTTCATTGTTCTTCTGAACAACATCATCAGCACGAACTTCAGATAGAAGTGAAGCATTAGAATTTCTCCACGTTTGACCTGTAGCTTGTTCTGCTAACCTCGATCTTGATTGGTTGTTGTTGACATTTGACCTGTCGTTGTTTGCAACTATGTTTTGATTGCCTCCCTCTCTGCATTACCGCTTCGGCGATGAGTCCTGATATTGGTGATCCCATTGGTGTTCCTTTTATTTGTTCGTAGACTCTGTTGTTGAACTGAAGATATGTTGTTAAGCATAGGTCGATGAGTTCAAGCAAACTTTGACTCTGAAGTTTTGTATATTTGTGTAGATTTGTGTCGTTGGTGAGGAGCAGAGAAAGAGTTTCTTTGGCTAAGCTTGGTTCTATTGAGGTAAATAAGGCTGTTACGTCGAAGGATATCATCATTTCGTCGTTGTCAATTTGAATCCTCTTGAGTTTATCCAAGAATTCTGTGGCAGACTTAATGGAGTAGTTGGATTCATCCACCAGATGTTTTAATATCCTTAAAATTTCTCTTGATAAAATGTAGGTCGGGGTACCGGGGAGACCAAAGGACAAAGGAAGAAAAACCAAATATCATCTACAAAATAAATTGCTCAAATTGTGAAAAACACTACATAGGACAAAGTGGACGACCTCTTCAGCTCCGTTTACGTGAACATCAATTAGCAGTCAAACGCCACGACAACGCTTCGCTTATATCAATACACACCGACAATTATGGACACACATTTGATTGGAACAACGTGGAAATACTAGGTAGGGGGAGGACAAAGAACACTAGAGAATTTTTAGAAGCTTGGCACTCAGGTCAATTAGCAATCAACAAACACATCGACATTGACCCAATTTATCAACCAATCAGGAAAATCATAGGTGACACTAGATCAAGAAACAGATCAAAAGAGGGAGGCAATCAAAACATAGTTGCAAACAACGACAGGTCAAATGTCAACAACAACCAATCAAGATCGAGGTTAGCAGAACAAGCTACAGGTCAAACGTGGAGAAATTCTAATGCTTCACTTCTATCTGAAGTTCGTGCTGATGATGTTGTTCAGAAGAACAATGAAAGCTCCACAACCAAAACAACCAGCTCAGAGAACAAAACACCACCACGAAAATGTATCCAAGATATACGTGCGAGCCTACTACTAGCCTGAAAATATACATAAATGTAGGACCTATCTAAGCATCAGGAAATACTACAGAGTATCCTCAGGCAGATTGAAAAATACACTTCGAATGTTTCCTAACGCCTTCAAGAGCTTATATGAGTTCTTCACTTGGGAAGTTATCACACCTGAAAGTACGTGTATTTGAAGTGATAGTGCTGTTAACTCACTTTTATAGAGAGAACGCGATTGCTTTAACAGAAACATTCATCGTTGTAATCACCTGTATCACTGATTGTTTTACTGTACTTTCTGTTTATTCGACTTTACACACTCAAACCTTCTGTTTGTGTTACTGCCACTTTGGTTCCACCGCTCTCTGTGATTTCGCCCCCTTTCCTGGCATGATTTCGGTATTCTTTAGATACCACGAAATCGCCTGCAAAAATACTCTCTTGTCTGGAACAACATTTTATCTCAGTGATGGGCACGTGACTGGTTTGTGATGGTGACTGTAGTCAATCGCTACTCGCGCCTATATAATTTTCTGATGGAGATGTATGATGGTGTTAACAAAGTGTAAAATATACGAAGCTGAGCTTTAAAAGCATCCGATAAGAATTGATATAATCATGGTCATTACTTTTATACTGCTTTACATGTCACTAACTCGTTTTTTTCAGTGACGATAGATCGTGTAAATGGAAACTACTTTACAAATAACGAAAGTGATTATACAAATTAAGTGACATTACGGAAATTATGATTATTGTGATGGACTTTTTGAAAAATAAATTTGTACTAATCAGTTCCACGTATTATTGCACCAGAATAAAATGCATTAACTGGCACGAATTAACTGAAAATCAAGTTGGATGCTCAGTTAGGTCATTCAGTTTACATCTTCCGAACACTAAAATTAAGACTTACAAATATTTGA